TGATTAGCCAAATGGGGTAGCCTTCCTGTTTTGTCTCCTCATTGGCAATTAAGAAAGAAATCCATTGAGGGAGTGGTGGCAGTGAACCTTTCCCTCTGACACAAATAACCTTAATCAGGCCTCTTAGTTAATTTCTGAAATTGTGCAGTATCGACCTCTGTTTGAAGCAGGATTTTCATCCTATGGCCCTTTCAGTAACACATACACATCTTCCAGTTAGCAGAGCAGGCTTTTTCTAATGGTGACATCTTTTAGATCTTATTTACAGTCCTAATCACATCATTGATTCCAGTAATCTTTCTGGCACTAAGAGCTGTTATTCTCTCAAAGGGGTCCTGGGTAGGGTTTGTATGTATTTTCTAAAACCCAGGTAATTAAAATTACACAAAGCAATAGCAATCTAAGATTAGGGGTAGAAGAGAGAAGAGGGGGGAAAATCCACCATTCTCAGTGTTTTTAACACAGAGACAGTAAAGAGGCCACAATGTTTCTCAGATAAAGGCCAATACCCGAACTTCATTTTGATAACTTAAATAAACAGTTGGGAGCAGCATTCTACTCTGCAAACCACGTTAGGAAAGCATTTGCTCAATGCAAAATACAGCACTTGGGCATTTCTGACCTATGTGACTCTTTTTGTTTTAAAACAACTGAAATACTGTGATTGGGTAATGAAAAATAATCACTTAACCCCAAAATGAGTGCAAAAATCCTCTACCTCATCTTCCCCATCTCTGTTTTAAGCCAATTCAAACGAGTGCAGGTTTTGCTTGTCCTTAGTGTCAAGATTTTAGCCTAGGGACCACTGAAATAATTAGGAATATTCATTGCTCGTGTCGCTATGACTTCATCAATCACTGCCCTGTGTTGAAGGGCAAGAGAATGTGGCTGTGAGGCTGGAAGCCTTGGGCTTGGGGCACTGTAATGAAGCTGAATCTGGGGCTCAGCCACCTCATGAGTGACAGCTATTCTCACCCCTTGTGCACATGCACTCATCTTTTCAAGCTGCTTTACTCCCACTGTGCATGAGTTAAATGAGAAGTTTCTTCTGTTTAAGAAATTCAGTGCAATGCAGTAAAAAGAGATGCTAGCAAAGTCCTGGTTGAGCAAGAGCATTATTTATTGTATGTTCTCCACGAGAAAAATGCCCCCCCTGGCAGCCACTGCCATTGGAGTGCCAAGGAGGCACCTGAGGATGCTGGCAGAGAGCAGGGCTTCCTAAGGTGCTACCATCCCTGCCTGCACCACGGGTATACAAACCTGATGCCATCTATTTACATCTCTGGACCGCAGCACGGGGTGAAGCGTGGCGATACGAGAGATCTCTCTTCATTTGCTGAAGCAACTGCCAAATTAAACGATGACAGATAGAAAAGCTGAAAGCAGCGGTGCCAGAGGTCCGGTGGCAGCCGTCTGTGTTAGCGATGGGTAAACACACAAACCTCGGCCGGTGCCTGCAGCAGATACGCACCCAGTTTAAAGACAGCCCTCTGAATTTTCATTTAATCAATACTCCCTCTCGAAGAGAGCGGCGTAGAGCATTAGAACTAAAGCAGTGTTATTAGAAAATGATATACTGCACATTAGGATGTATAATTCACGTCGCCTTCATTTGCTCAGACCGTCGCAAAAATCCATAAATCATTTTCTCGTTCATGTTATCGCCCAAATGCAATTTGTCATTCCGCATTAGAGGGCTGCCTCAGATCAGCGGCGCTTTTAATTCACCGCTCGGGGTTTAACACGGCGCGGCCCGACGAGCGGCAGAGGAGCGCACCCACAAAATGGAGGCGCCCGGGGAGCGGGCGGGGGTCTGAGCGCCGAGCTGCGGCCGCAGCCGGAGCCCCGCGGCAGCGCCAGCTGGGGGCGGCGGGAGCGGGGCTGTTCGCACCGCGCATAGAGGCATAGATACGCATCTATCTGATCCGAGCATCGTGCCCTGCAGGCCGCCCTCACCTCGGTCCCGATTTCCTCGACGGCCGCTGCCGGTCGAGTCCCGTCGCCCCCGCCCCAAGCGTGGGTGACGCCCGGCCGCAGTGTGCCAAGGGCTCCGAGCCGCTCCCCCGTCTGCGGCTGTTGAGCGGCGGCCCCGCACCTCCCGCCCGTGGCCGCCGGCTTTTCCCGAGGAAAGCCGATGTACGGCAAACGCCGGCCGGGGTTGCGGGGGCAGCGTGGCGCTCGGGAGCGCACCGCACCGACGGTTCCCCGCTCCCGGCCGCTGCCTTTCCGCACCCGCTTCACGCGTCTCCTTCGCCACGGCGGGCTTGGAGTAGCAGCCGGCGCCGGGCAGCTCCTGACTGTGGGCAGAGCGACGTGCGCCCCCGCCCGCAGCGGGCAGGGAGGGGACGGGGCGAAGCGCCGCGGGGAGCGAAAGGCCGGGCCCCCCGCTTCCCCCCGCGGGGCCTGCGGGCGGGGCTGGGAGGCGCAGTGCGGCGCTGCCGCCGCTGGGGGGCGCCCGACGCCCGCGATTGCGATTGCGGCCGGGCCGGCGGCTTCGCGAGGGTGGCCGCTGGCCGCTGGGAGGGCTCCGCCAACGGCCGTCGCGCAGGACGCGGAGCCCTCCGCCCCCAACGCGCTGTGCCCCGCGGGATCCCGGAGGCCGTGAGCGGCTGTCATCGCCCCGCGCGTCCCGCTGCCAACCGCCGCGTCCCCGCGCCCGGGCGTGACGCCGGGGTCACGCAGCTGCCGGCGGCTGCTCTGCTCGCGGTTCTCTTCCGCGCGGCCCCATCGCTCCCCAGGGCCGCGGGGATGCGTCTGCTGTGCGGGGAGTGACGCGTTGCTGTGCGACCGCAACGGAAAGTGCGGAGAGCAGCGCAGTGTGCGCGGAGAGCGCTCGCTGCCCCGGCTGGGTCGGGGTCACCGCTCTGAGTGATGTCCTTTAGAAACAATAAAACATTTATTGGATGGGAGAATTACATGTAATATTCTGTTCTGGTTTTTTTGTTTTGTTTTGTTTTTGTTTTTGTTTTTGTTTTTTTTTTTGTAACGTTACAGGATGTAACTTGAGGTAACGCACGTTCCGGTCCGTAAGGGAACCCGTCAGGGACCCCAGCACCGCCCCGCTCTGCCTCCTGCCCTCTGCCCGAACCCGGACAGCCTCCGGTGGAAGGAGTGACTTTATTTGGCGCTGTCTGGGTGCCACGAGGAGGGCTTTGAGCACCGGAGCGCAGCACCGGAGCGTTCCCGTCCAGAGCCCTCGGCGGAATCCACGCAGCGGCACAGGGAACGCCGCGGACAGCGCTGCCCGGAATGGAGCCGCTCGCTGGGAAACGAGCAAACCGCGGCTCTCGGTTCGCCGCTTCTCGATGCCCTACCGCGCACACGCAGAGCGAGGCGCTGCCCTTTCCCCGTGAGGCACGGGGCTCCTTTCCATCCCACCCGCACCCGATTTTGTTCCGCTAGGGGAAATTCCACAGATAAAGCGGAGGAAAAAGGCACGGGGCCGTGGCACCTGGGATTGGACGGAGCTGGAAACACAGCGCGGATGGAAGGAAAGTCGCGCTTTCTCCACTGTTACACAAACTAATTAGCTAAGGCAGCCCAAGAGGAGGGGAGCGGGGGAGGCATTTTCTCAAGTTTCCCTTTGTTTACGGTTTTCCTAACAACGCCGCCGCGCTCGGAAAGTTGGTGGCTGGTGGAAACTCCCTCTCTAAGGAGATGGCTGTTTATCATTAGCCCTGCGTGCGCGCTGATGACGAGCAGTGATTTCCCTTACTGCGCCGGGTGAACAGCTGCCTGGTTACATAGATAGATAGGTAGGTAGGTAGATAGCTGTCTGCTTGCCTGCTCGTCCATCCGCCCGCGCTGCCCGCCCTGTCTCCCCTGCCTGCCTGCCTGCCTGCCTGCCTACGCTGCCCGCTTTGCCTGCCCGCACTGCCTGCGCTGCTTCGCCTGCCTGCCTACCCGCCTCTGATGCAGCCAACCTGACGTGCTGCGCGGCCAATAGGGTGCCGCCCCCGGGGGCGTTGCTGCCAGCCGATTGGTTGGCAGGAGCCGAGCGCTGCGCAAAAACAGCAAAGCCGAGCGCTCCGAGCTCAGAAACTGCCGGCAGAGATCAGAGGAGCGGAGCCGGGCTGGAGCCGGGACGGGAGGAGAGCGGCAGCAGCGGCAGCAGCAGCAGCAGCAGCAGCAGCAGCAGCAAGCAAAGAGAGGGGTTAGGCGCAAAAGCAGCAAGAGAGAAGAGAAAAAAAAAAAAGCAAAACTGATCGGCACGTCCATAAAACGCAGAGTGATGATGATGATGATGAACGTAATAATAGCAATAAAAGAAGAAAACGAAGGACTGTTGATAGAAGAGAGAAAAATCTAAGATCTTGACATAAAAAGAGGAAATCCCAGAGAAATCAGGGAATGAAAGTTTGGGTAGAGAAGCTGTTCTCTGCCGTTTTTTATATGAAACGTTTTTGCGGGTTCTAATTTTTTTTTTTTTTTTTTTTTTTTTTTTTTTTTTTTTTTTTCTTCATTTCGCGATTTTCTGCCTTTTTCTCGCCTCCGAAGAGGGCATGTCCACCGGCTCCGCCAGCAGCTTCTCCCCCTCCGGCTCCCACCAGGAAGACAAACCGAGGACAATCCTGAAATACAAAAATTTCTTCCCTGGGATTTGCTGCTGCTGCCGCCGCTGTTGCTGCCGCGGTGCAGTGCCAAGACTCTCGGAATAAATAAAAGCGGGCTACTGTGTGTCTGTAGATGCGGGCAGCTAATAGCTATTATTAGTTGGCCATTGATTTCGAAGATCACAGATGAAGTGGGGACGCCTTTCTTCTTCATTTGGTCAGCGTGTGAAACAATAATACTCGTAACAAATAGGAGGGAGATGGGGGTGAAAAAAATCTTGACATGATTCAGAAGAAATAATACCTAGCGCACTCCCCCCCCCTAAGCCGGAGCCCCCCTTCTTTCCCCCTCCCCGCTCCCTCTCTCGCCACACGCTCGCAGGCGCGGACACACACACACACACACACACACACACACACACACACACACAGAGTCGCGCACACACATCCACACACAGGCGCACGCACTGTGCTGTGTGCTTTCGGAGGAGGAGGTGGTGGAGGCTTTTGGAAAAGGAAGAAGAGGTGGCGTTGGGGAGGGGGGGATCTCTTTCCCCGTTGGAGATGATCGTGCTATTCCTCTTTGCCTCGCTCTGGATGCTGGAGGGGGCCCTCGGCCAGCTCCATTACACGGTGCAGGAAGAACAGGAGCATGGCACGTTCGTGGGGAATATCGCCGAAGACCTGGGCTTGGACATTACAAAACTTTCGGCTCGCCGCTTTCAGACGGCGTCCAACTCCCGCAGCCCTTACTTGGAACTCAACCTGGAAACCGGGGTGCTCTACGTGAACGAGAAGATCGACCGCGAGCAGATCTGCAAGCAGAGCCCCTCCTGCCTGCTGCACCTGGAGGTCTTCCTGGAGAACCCCCTCGAGCTGTTCCGGGTGGAGATCGAGGTGCTGGACATCAACGACAACCCACCCTCCTTCCCCGAACCCGACCTCACCGTGGAGATCTCGGAGAGCGCCACGCCGGGCACCCGCTTCCCCCTGGAGAGCGCCTTCGACCCCGACGTGGGCACCAACTCTCTCCGCACCTACGAGATCACTCCCAACAGCTACTTTTCACTCGACGTGCAGACGCAGGGCGACGGCAACCGCTTCGCCGAGCTGGTGCTGGACAAGCCGCTGGACCGCGAGCAGCAGGCGGTGCACCGCTACGTGCTGACTGCGGTGGACGGCGGGCAGCCCCAGCAGCGTACCGGTACCGCCCTGCTCACCATCAGGGTGCTGGACTCCAACGACAACGTCCCCGCCTTCGAGCAGCCCGTCTACACCGTATCGCTGCCGGAGAATTCGCCGCCGGGCACGCTGGTGCTGCAGCTCAATGCCAGCGACCCCGACGAGGGGCAGAACGGCGAGGTCATCTACTCCTTCAGCAGCCACATATCGGCCCGCGCACGGGAGCTCTTCGGCATCGCGCCGCGCACCGGGCGCCTGGAGGTGAGCGGCGAGCTGGACTACGAGGAGAGCAGCGTGTACCAGGTGTACGTGCAAGCGAAGGACCTGGGGCCCAACGCCGTGCCGGCGCACTGTAAGGTGCTGGTGCGGGTGCTGGACGCCAACGACAACGCGCCCGAGATCAGCTTCTCCACCGTGAAGGAGGCGGTGAGCGAGGCGGCGGCGCCGGGCACCGTGGTGGCCCTCTTCAGCGTCTCGGACCGCGACTCGGAGGAGAACGGGCAGGTGCAGTGCGAGCTGCTGCAGGGCGACGCGCCCTTCCGCCTCAAGAGCTCGTTCAAAAACTACTACACCATCGTCACCGAGGGGCCGCTGGACCGCGAGCAGCCGGGCGGCGACGCCTACACGCTGACCGTAGTGGCTCGGGACCGCGGCGAGCCGCCGCTCAGCACCAGCAAGTCCATCCAGGTGCGGGTGAGCGACGTGAACGACAACGCTCCGCGCTTCAGCCAGCCCGTCTACCAGGTGTACGTGAGCGAGAACAACGTGCCCGGCGCCTACATCTACGCCGTCAGCGCCACCGACCGGGACCAGGGCGCCAACGCCCAGCTCGCCTACTCTATCCTTGAGAGTCAGATCCAGGGCATGTCCGTCTTCACCTACGTCTCCATCAACTCCGAGAACGGCTTCCTCTACGCGCTCCGCTCCTTCGACTACGAGCAGCTCAAGGAGTTCAGCTTCCAGGTGGAGGCTCGCGACGCCGGAGAGGAACCGCAGCCGCTGGCCGGCAACGCCACCGTCAATATCATCGTCGTGGACCAGAACGACAACGCTCCCGCCATCGTCAGCCCGCTGCCCGGCCGCAACGGCACCCCGGCGCGGGAGGTGCTGCCGCGCGGCGCCGAGCCGGGCTACCTGGTCAGCCGCGTGGCGGCGGTGGACGCCGACGACGGCGACAACGCCCGCCTCACCTACAGCATCGTGCGGGGCAACGAGGCCAGCCTCTTCCGCATGGACTGGCGAACGGGCGAGCTGCGGACGGCGCGCAGAGTGCCGGCCAAGCGCGACCCTCAGCGGCCCTACGAGCTGGTGGTCGAAGTGCGCGACCACGGGCAGCCGCCGCTCTCCTCCACCGCCGCCATCCAGGTGGTGCTGGTGGACGGCGCGGCCGAGCGGCCCGGCGGCGGCGGCGGCGGCGGCGGCGGAGCGCTGGGCGCGGGGGTGGGCGCGGGGGGCGGCGGAGGCGGCGGAGAGCATCGGCCCAGCCGCTCCGGGGGAGACACCTCGCTCGACCTCACCCTCATCCTCATCATCGCCCTGGGCTCCGTCTCCTTCATCTTCCTGCTGGCCATGATCGTGCTGGCCGTGCGCTGCCAAAAGGAGAAGAAGCTCAACATCTACACCTGCCTGGCCAGCGACTGCTGCCTGGGCTGCTGCTGCTGCTGCCCCTGCTGCAGCCGCCAAGCGCGAGCCCGCAAGAAGAAACTCAGCAAGTCGGACATCATGCTGGTGCAGAGCTCCAACGCGCCCAGCAACCCGGCGCAGGTGCCGGTGGAGGAGTCGGGCAGCTTCGGCTCCCACCACCACAACCAGAACTACTGCTACCAGGTCTGCCTCACTCCCGAGTCCGCCAAGACCGACCTGATGTTCCTCAAACCCTGCAGCCCCTCCCGCAGCACCGACGCCGAACACAACCCTTGCGGGGCCATCGTGACCGGCTACGCCGACCAGCAGCCCGACATCATCTCCAACGGCAGCATCCTGTCCAGCGAGGTAAGGCCGGGCCGCGCGCCGGGCCCTTGGCGGCCGTTGGGGGACCCTCGGGCGCCGGCCGCACCGCTGCCCCGCGCCGCTGCTCTCCCGCGTCGGCCAACGAAGCCGCTGCCCTGCGGGGAAGGCGCTTCGCCCGCCTCCCCGTTCACCTGCCGGCTGTGGGAGAGGGAGGCGTGAGGGCCGGGAGCCCCCGCACAGAAGGGCGACTCGGTCGGGCCGGCCCCCGAGCAGCGCTGGGGCTCTCCGAGCCATTGGCTGCAAGCGCTTCTGAGTTTCTTAAAACTGCGCTTTCCTCCCACGTCTCCTCCCCCAACACTCCCCCCTGGAACCTTAGCATGTGTGAGAAAGGCTACGGGGGAACCCCCTTCTGGGAGCGTAAAAATCTCTGCAGTTAGCAGGAGCTTTAATTAATGTGTGAATTAGGGCCTATTAATTGACTCTTCTTTCCTCCCTCGCTTTGTAACTGAAAGCCTTGTTTGCAAAGAAAAGCATCGTGAAAGACTTGCCGTGAAATCATACGCAGAGATTTACAGTTTCCTCTCGTTAAACACGTTGTCTGTGTTGTGTTGCCCAGTGTGTAGAGAATTTCTGTCCCAGCGTATGGCTGTCATAATGCTCTCCTGTTAATCGTTTCTCTGTGTTAGCTCCTACATGCTATTGGTGGCTCTCTGCTTGTGTGCTGCAGGAAACAAAACTCTCTTAATGTGAATACTGAAACCTGAACTCTGTCCAGGCTGGCTGACGCGGTTTGCATGATATTTTCTAAAGCTGGATAAGTTCTGCAGTGCAGTGTCTCGTATTGGCTTTTAACATTGACTTTCCCTCAAAATGTCTGTAAAGCTCTTCCTTCTGTTGCTGTTCCGAGGAGTCAAGGCTGTCTTGATGTATTTTCTTCCTTACTGTGCAATAACGATACTGTCTCTCCCTATTTTTATATTCTAGAATTGAAAACGGGCTGAAAACCAGATTACAATAAGTTTTGTCTCAGAGCAAGTGGTACACAACTCTAGAAATAGTTTGGCTGATTTTTGTGGGAGTCCTTGTGATGCTTGACAGCATGCACTGTGAGAAAACGTGTCAGAATCTCATCCCAAAGAACTTGGGGGGAAAAAAATCCCTCACGCTTTCCCATATGTGTGAAGAAGATTATTTGGCTGTTTTTATTTCTTCATACGTCCCAGAAATAGACTGTGTAGGCCTACTTGCAGTTAAACATTACCATTTGCAGTGAATATGAAGAGCTGCTCTTGTGCGTTTTCTGATGTTGGTTACAGAAATACCAAGTGTTCAAATATTTCTCCATATATTTTTTTCTCCTAGACGAAACATCAGCGTGCTGAGCTCAGTTATCTAGTTGACAGACCCCGACGGGTAAACAGGTATGAGCTCCTTAGTCATGTTTTCATAATGCATGCTTTAGCAAGTGTGAATGGGATGCAGAAATGTGTTCACTGCAGATGTAAAGCAGTAGCAAAGCAGTGGGAAAATGGATGTATGTAGACATATGAAATAAAACGCTGTCAAGTAAATGAGTATGAATTACTGCTTTTTTGAATTGGTCTCAAAGTCATCTGAAAAGAAAACAAAATCTCATGTTTTATTAGTCTAAAACATCCTTTAAATACTTATTAATCCTTCCATAGAGTCTTCCTTACAACATTGGCCTCTCTAAGTCAAAATTTTGCCATCCAGCTTACATCAGTGATGCCCAATTTATAGCAATTACATGAAAAACAGACAGAGTGGCAATGCCTGCTGGCTGTTTGGGCTAGGCTACCTATGTCTGAAAAGGCAAGTTTTGTTCATGATGGGCAGAGGTGTGCTGCTCTGCAGTGGTACAAGGCAGGGGTGAGTGACTGCAGCACCTTGTTTGGCCATGTGATGGCAGAAGAATGTTTTATGAGTTCCTCTTTAATGTTTATTCTAATGTAAAGATGTTTCTGTGTCTAGTTCTGCATTCCAGGAAGCAGACATAGTAAGCTCTAAGGACAGTGGTCATGGAGACAGTGAGCAAGGAGACAGTGATCATGATGCCACTAATCGAGGTCAATCCTCTGGTAAGTCTGATAAGAAACTGGAAACAGTCAATCTGTAAGTAGGGAGACTAGAAGGGTTACCTGTAGGAATGTAAAATGTGAGTGGCACAAAATCACATAAGCATATTGCATGGAAGGCTGGGTTGAGGTCAGCTTGCCATTATGGTGATCTAAACAAGGAGGCAATTTTGAACACTGTGTATTCAAGGGGCAGAACATAATTCATTTGATCTTGGAAGTTTGGGGTGTGTCATTCTACGTCACTGGCTGTAGCAAAACTTCTTGCAAGTAAAACTAAAGTTCTTGTACATTTTATTATGGGTTAGTTTCCCCCCCCTCCCCTCCCCCCCCAACTGTAGATTTCAATGCACTAGGCAACTCTGTTTTGTAGGCACTTCAGCTGGCATGGCAGCGTGAAGTGCAAGGGGAGTTCCCAGGGGAAAGAATGAACCAGCTGACTGAATGACAGCCAGACTCTGAGGATTTTTGCTCAGAGAGGCTGGAGACACATTGGGTGTTCTGAATGTGTAATACCTTAGCATTTTCAGAGGACTGTTTTTTAATTCAAATTAATGAACCGTATAATATAAGTGATCTCCATGCTAATAAGGCCAGGGTATTCTTAAATACATTTCTTTCAATCCAAACAAAGGAAATAAATGCTTTAAGAGATAATGATATAGCTGTGATTTGAATCATTTAGGAACTGTATGCATTGCAGTGCTATTCCTATGTGTATAGCTTGCTGTCTTTGCTCTCTTACTGTCAGATTCCTTTGAAAGGGATATTTTTTGTTTAGATTCTATGCACTGGAATTCATTCTTGCCCTCATACTGCATTTTAGCCACAAATGCTTTTCCTTTCCTCTCTACTGCAGCTTCCAAAGGTCTGGTATGTCTTGATTCAGTGATTCAACACAGTGATTCTTTCCCCTTGTTTCTTCTATTCTCTGTCATGTATCAGGATTTGCTACCAGTATGTCATACAAAATACTGCCTGAGTTCCTCCAGTTTTCCTATTTTTATTTTTTGTTGTTGTTTGTAGTGTGTTGTTTTTGGTTGTTTTTTTTTTTTTTTCCTGACCCCTGTCTTAAAAGATTTCAGGGCAAGGAACTCAGTGCTGTCATAGCAGTGCAGCATCTCCTGCATGTTAGTACCCTCTATTTTCCTTCTGCTATAGTCACTGTTCCCTTAATGATGGGAAACCCAGGAACCAGGGGGAAGGGGAGGCTGCTACAGGGCCCCTTTATATTGCTGCAAGTCATTAATATGCAGACCTAATGAGACTGAGAAGAGCCAAGAGTCTCCGGAGCTCCCTGCTTCTTGCAGGGCTTCATGCTAAATGAACAGAGTGCCTATTTTGTGTCTGGGAACCTGACAACAAACCATGTCTTGCCAGAAGTTTACATCTGAACACAGAGCCTCTTTCATTTTTGGCCTATATATGGCGTATGATTTATTGTTGTCTTAAAAAGCCATGCATTTAGCCTTCCCCACCCATTCTTTTGCACTGTTTCTGATACAGCAACCAGCTACTGCGTGATAAAAAAAAAACTCCCTCTCCTCCTGCCCTCCCTGCATTCCATTTCTTTTTTCTTTTACGCATTTTACTGCAGCAGTCATCTCAATGAAAATTTCAATCAGTTTAGTCCCTCAGCATAATGAACCATAATAGCCAAACAGGAGAGAAAAGTACAAACATCTGCAGAAGGGATTGGATTTGACTAATGGTGGGAATATAATCATACAGTTGCACATCAACTGAAAGCTATTTTGTTTTAGTTGCATCCAGTACTGTTATTGTCGTGCCTCTGCTCTTTATTCTTTCTTCCAATTTTGCAAGTAGTCTGTCTCAGCTATGAACCCTGCAACTACTGTCAGACTTGACATTTATTTCCTAAAAGGCTGAATTCCTTATTTTTATTATTCCCATTTTACTAAATAGGGAGAAAAAACCTGTATTTGCGAAATAACTTCAAATCATGTAAGATTATGGTGTGATTTATGAACTGTAACTTAAATGATGAATACATATGAAGTAATGAAAGCTGACAGTCTTAGGCTGCTCACAATTAACAGTTTTAACTGAAACCTCAAATACACAGAATTTCCAATTTAATATATTGGTGCTGTGCTTTTGGAATAATTAGCATGAGCAATTTTTAGAATGCTGGTTCCAAGTAAATATTTAAATACAACCATCTGAAGAAACTGCTCTTATTTTCTACCAATGTGTGATACAGCCTTTCTGTAAGGTTTGGGCTGAACTGTGCTGTCATGATTCAAAGAAGGTGCCCTTTGACATATGTGATGGCAAGGTATTTTGTTATCAAGTCTTTACTTGTGCTATTAGCTTTTAGTGATTAATGTTATTAAAAAAAAGAAACATAAATCTTGTTTGATCTTGAGTGTCTAGAGAAAGCGTCTGAGGGAATCCCTTCTCAGTTTTCCAGTCATTGCTGTATGATCAATTTTATCTAAATGATGAAAAGAAAACACAGTTGTTGACAATTTTTTAAAATACATTTCTTAATGCAATGCAGAAAAGTATTTGTTTCCAGAAGCAGTGTACGTTCTTATCTGAAAATGTTTAGCTGACAAGACCCATCAAACAATATAACTTCCTACCCATTTTTATTCAGCAATGTTTTAATCGCAAAATAAACTTTCCATCTCCCGTGCACTACTTCTGTTACTGTTACCAATGGACACTCCTGTGGCATACACATAGCTGTTCCATAGTAGTCCATTGCTAGGCAAGCTGACTGCCAAAAGCGTGATGAATTATTAGTTGGGAAGGTAAACATGCAGGATGGGAATCTCTCACAGTGTCATAGATGACTCATAAAATTATCGACAAAAATCCTGCACTAAGCTGATCTCTGTGTCATAAAATGCCCTATTATGTTTTGAAATAAGATTCTAGATCACCTTTTGGCAGAGTATGTGTTCTTGATAGTGATTTAATCATGATTTAAAATGTTCTGAATGCCTGTAAGGGATTCGTACTGTTCCCATCAAGGTAGCACTTGAATGCATTGTTATTATCTACATTCTTAGCTACCTTCATATCCACGAACTAGGAAACAACTGCCACCTGTGATTAGCAGAGAATGCCATATAGTGGGATACTCAAAACTGTTCCAAGAACCTAATTTTTCTGGTTTGAATAATCATTTCATTTAGGTAGGGTAAGGATCTGAGCTTCTTGGCGGAAAAAAATGGCTTTCCTAGGGTCATGCAATAAGTTTTGGCTACTGGAGTGAAGGTTTCTCTAACCCCAAATGAGTGTGCCAATTACGTGTGCTCTTATTCTCTAACTGAAAATTGTTGAGACAAAAGCAGTTGTTTTGTTGTGGAACAAATGCAACTAATGCAACACTGCTACCTATTATTAACATGCAGTATTTCAATCATGTTGTGTAGGAGTCATTTCTAAGCTTGAGGTTAGTTTATTTCCCATGGTTGATTAAATTCTTGGCCTCCCATGTGAAACTGCTGACTTGGGTGCCAATTGGTACTCTGTGTGTGTGTGTATGTTTAAATTGTGTGATTAGACACCTGTCCTGTAAGACCTGGACTTTTGCCATCAATTTATTTCGTTTGGTTGGTCACTAGCTACTCAGCTTTCTCACATCAGACATGCAGAGTTCTTTACTGTATTTCCTTCATTTCCTTACTTTCACTGAATAGGCATGATGTCTGAGGTGTACTTCAGGAAGGAATATCCAAGATGAGAAGCTAAATACATGTATGCTATGTATTACGAAATGCACCAACTTTTTTTTTTTACCATCTATCTACTCAGTAGATTGTGCTGCATGGCCAGTACATGTTGGTGATTACCTGAGATCTGAAATCAGATTTCTATTGTTGAACTTTACAAAGGGAATTGTTAGGGGTCTAATGCAAGGACACAGAGTGAAACTTTACCTCACACGTTTTCTATCTAAACTTAGTAAACCTCAAGAGGGTTACTAGGCATTACTGCTAGGATGTAGAATAGCTATGGTATTTCAGTTTTCATGGAGACAAGAACTTGAGAAGTCTAAATGAGAATTTTGGTGGTAAAGGGACAGACAAGACCAGCGTTCCTTCGAAGTCTGTTCAGAGTGACAGGTAAATCCTGTTTTGAAGATCACTTAGGCTAACAGTCTGTCTTGGATAAAGTGAGAGTTAAACATTAAACATTAAGATGGCTTAGAAAAGTGCTTTGACTTGAACTGAGGTGAGGGGGTTTTTTTGTTTTGTTTCGTTTCTTTTTTTCTTCTTTTTTTGTGTTTCATACTTAGTAACGTTCACATCTCAATGGTCCAGACAGGGCTTTGAAGTTGGGATTTGGAAGAGCTGACTATTGAAGATCTTTAAGTCTTTTTTTCATGTTCTCATGCAGATGAAGTCATTTTTATCCAAGGCAGAGCACCAATTACTTAACAAGTAAGAATGATAATAACTGTGTTTCATGAAGTCAGTTTCTTCAGTAGAGTCTTCCACAAAGAAGGTTAAAATAATTATCCTTATTTACAGACATGAAAACATGACTCCCTGATAAATTACTAACTTGCTCTGTGATAATCCAACCAAATAGGTATCTGATCTGCTAATGGAGTTTCAAAAAGTTTCCCTATATCACACCTACCTCCCAAATAACGTTTAAAAAGCTGAAGAAGCAACAAATGCCATTTAGTTCTGCAGAAAAGACACATTTATGAGCTGGGGAAAAAAAAAAAGATAAACTTTGTGAAAAGCCTCTCAATAACAAAACTACAAAAAACATTTTGTCAACATTCAATTTACATTTTTTTCTTTTTTTTTTTTCTTTTCATTATATCAGTTACTCAGTAATGTATATATGAACGTGTTCACTCATTTCTCTAAAGGCTTGGTATGTGGCTTTTCTCCTTTATTTAAATTAAGAAAAAATAAATTATTTAAAAGTGGTTGTAGGCTTACTTTTCACTTTGATCTTAAATCATCTTTCAAATCAATTAGAATTCATGCACACAGAAATTTTGCTTTTCTTCTTTAGAAATATGAAAAGGAAGCAAATTGGGAATATGCTTTAGAAAAGCAATGCTGCCAAGTATCGGATTGAAAGCACCTGAGCTCAGGAAATTCAGATGCAGATATAAATCTTAGTATTTAACTCCTTTCTTTCTTTTTAGTTTCCCTTGAGGGAAGGGCAGAGGCTTGTTTGGCTTCAAAATCTGCAAAGTTATGTTATGCAAAAGCTTGTATTGCCCACTACCTATCTAGATAAATGTTCACCTTTGCAACGAGCTTTTATATTTATGTATGCTGTATTTGGAATAGCTCAAAGCTTATCAATTCTCAGCTCTTCAGTAGTCTATACTATCTATTTTTATCTTCAAAGGACATTTAAAATTCATAATGCAGAGTCACCTTTAAAATCTCAGTTTATCTGCATGCAACGTCTAATGCAGATAAAAGTCTAATGCAACTAAGTGAAAAATATGAAGCATTTTTCTTTAATGTGGATTTAAAATAGTGATGAATAGTTCAATTCACACAACGTATATGTAAGTAGATATATAAGAAAGATGAGGTGGAAGTATTACACTGCTGAACATTCCTTTTTGTTATGAATCAAAAATATGATTCTTGGTGTATAAGGGAGTTCCATGCTGTATGTCTTATTAATTTACCACATTATATTCTTCCTTCTACAAATTTAGCAAGCAGCTTTTCCTCCCCTCTCATCATCCACCCTATTAAAAAACGCTTTTTTAATTAAAAAAAAAATAAATTCTATATTGTGACCCACAGGAAGAAGGTGGAGGAAGAATAACCTATATCATAGTCAGTGAAGGGATTTCAGAATCAGTCTGATATTTTGAATTTATTTTCTTTCAAAAAATCAAAACTAACTGCTTAGTTCTGCACCCATTAGCCTCTTAGGGAATGTTGTGACTGATTCAAGTAAGTGCAATGTTCAACCCAGTCGTCTTTGAACATTTGTTATCAAATATTTACTTTCTAGCTCTGTATTAGTGGAAATTGAAATTTGTGGGGAGGGGGGGGAGAGTGGAGTGTTATACATATATTTTCTTTTAAAAGTTCTCATCTGCTTTCAGCAGAGGGAAACTCTGAGCTTACATTTTATATCCCCTACATTCATTACTTCCTTTATTCAAAATCCTGATTTATGGAGGCTATAACATCTCTTTTATAAGCTGTTATATAATACTATGCCGTGCACTGTCATAGACAAACAGGGTTCAAAAGTGAACTAAAAAGTAACATTTGGGTTGAGGATTTTTGCTATTTAGTAACTGGCATGAAAACAAAACAGTGAAATGGAGGGTAATTTTTCAGGAGAAGTAAAACCTCAAGAAGAGAAAAAAATGGCTCTATCCCTAATTATCTACATGTCTTGAAGGCAGTATTATCATAATATCTCCTCCCCCACTGATGTAAGCAAGTAATTTAGCATTCATCCATTCTTTTTTTCTGTATTTCCCTTGCTCGTTCAGAGTGGGTACGGTCAGTGATACACTGTTAGCAAATTGTAATTGTAATCAATTCTCTCTTAGAACCAGAGCTATTTCTAGTGTATGTGTAACTACTAGGTAGGCTGAAAAAAACAGAAGACCCATTTTAGTGTTAGCTATAGTTAGTGCTGCTAAAATGTTCTGAACAGCAAAAAAGTTTGTTTTTTGAAGTATTTTAAAATATAAAGTCTTTTCTTGTATTTGAATAAAAATCTTTCTCTGTATGCTTCTGTACATAAGATACTCAGGAACACACACGTGCTTTTAGAGATGTGGTTATATACACATTTCTTCCCAGGAAGCGTGCATCTAAACCTTTCTTTTCAGTCTTTGATAGCTACTACCATTACAGAATGCAGAACGATACAGGTTCTGCATCTTGTATAATGATCTTCATCTGGTTGTTTAATCATACCTGCAGTTCAAGTTTACATTTTTCAGCAGTTCACTGATCAGTAATCTATTTTCAGACTTCTGCGTGCCAATTATCAGTGCAAGTTTCTAATCAAAACAGGACCTGACATTGTATTTCACTTCATTTAAAATTAAGAAGTTGATGCAGTGTGTTTAATCTGAGGTAAAAAGCTTTTTTTCCTCTTCTTTCTTTTTTCTTTAGTCTGTCTAGAAGACAGATTTTATTTCTCAAGCGCTGGTTGGTGGCTGAAAAGGGGTCTTGCTTGCTGAAGAATTTGTTTCCTTCACTGTGAGATAACACAATAGTATTATGAATAGAAAACAAATCAACAGTTTAAAACAGTGGTAGCATTCTTAATGCTCTAATCCTCACAAGGGAGATCAAACTAATCAAGTTCTTTTTGGAGTGGGCTGGTGAACGAGCTACAGTGCACGAATCTTATTAAGGCTTTTCTTTTTTTCTATTTCTCCTGCTAGTTGAGTCTTTTTTTGTAATTCTAATGAAATGCTTGTAAATGTGATACTTATAACAAATTCAGTTCAGTCTTGATGTACTCCCATTCTAAGACACATCTTTCTAAGTTCAAGAAAGAGACATTTCTTCACTATTTTGCTTTTCTGTGTGATGTTGAACAATGACTTGGAGACCTTAATACTTATTTTACTTTATGCCTATGATTTCCTACACAGTTCCTTTCAAAACAAGTACAATCCAACAGCTTAGTGAATCCCTGTCACGAAATATTCTTTTGGACTGCTCGTCTTAAGGTAGTCAATGGAAGCATTTGCTTGTCATATGAAATTTTAATGGCATTAAAGCATTTATAAGCAAACAGTTTTATGTTGGCAGAGATAGGTGTTTGCTGACATAAGGGAAGCACTAACTGTTCTGTCAGTAGTATCCATGGCTATGTTGCACTGCACTACAGCTACCTTCAGACTGCTAATTTAATGTAGGATTCCATCCCTTTACTTGAATGACAAGATAGTAAGAATGACAAGATAGCTGCTGTAGCAGTGAAAACTCATAGTGATTGATTTAGTAAGCCATCTCGATTGCTTACAGGCTGGATTCCAACTCTGCAAATCTGCTTTTAATAGCAGTAGGTTCTGTCTGTATGCATGTATTAACAGATAATTAATTTATAAGACTAATACTTCATTTTCATAATCGAGATCTGTGATTACTCAATCAGGTCATATAACTTCTTTGGTCAGGGATAGGTTATGTACATAAACAATTCCTTCAATTGCTCTTAAACGCTTGTTCTTAAACAAGTATTTATGTCTGGTGAAGCACGGACATTGTCTGCAAGTAGAACTGGTCTGCAATGAAATGAGTTCTAAGCAGAAAGTTCTACAAGTTATTTTGCAAGATAGATCCATCAGTACCTTTCTTCTTGTGACACATCTGTGTGTGTGACGTTCTAGCATTTATTTATTCTTATTAAATGGTGTTGAATGCTGAAGACTGGACGTTCAGATTTTTTCTATTTTATTTTTTGAGGTGAAGGTAGTGGAAGTTCTCATGAGATCCCTTTCAGCATAATTTTTTTTTTAAATCTGTCAGCTGTCAGTTCGTGATGCTGAAGCTTGTATCTGTAGTTTCATTTTTTCTCATGCTTTCAGGCATGGATCTCTTCTCCAATTGCACAGAGGAATGTAAAGCACTGGGCCACTCAGATCGGTGCTGGATGCCTTCCTTTGTCCCATCTGACGGACGCCAAGCTGCAGATTACCGCAGCAATCTGCATGTACCTGGCATGGACTCCGTTCCAGACACTGAAGTGTTTGAAACACCAGAAGCCCAGCCGGGGGCAGAAAGGTCCTTCTCCACCTTCGGCAAAGAGAAGTCTCTTCACAACACTCTGGAGAGGAAGGAGTTGGATGGACTGCTGTCTAATACACGAGCGCCTTACAAACCACCATATTTGAGTAAGTACTATTCGAAAGGCTGTATGAAAGCGTTCCCTTTGCGGGAATAAAAATTAGCTCTTTCTCCTATTCACTGTAAAAATAATACAAATGCAATCTTAGAAGCAGTAGGGGAAAGTGGCTTCCCTTGGATTGAGGCACCACTGAGGAATGTGCTGTTCAATGTTTTTTTTTTTAAAAAAGACAAAACCTTGATTCTTGTTAGTATGACATGATTGTCGACATCAAAAGCATCAACTGATCAGTCAGGGAGATGCTCAAATTTGTTTTCAGATCCTGAATTACTTCATGATTAGATTTTTTACGTACAGATGTTGCCAGGGTGACATTTTCAAAGAAGAAAGTCAAGTTGTTGTTTATTTCTTTTTTCAACTGTCCCAGGAACTTCTCTTTATTTTTGATCAGTGTCCTCAGAATTATTTTAAAGTAACTGTTCCAGTACTTGAAGGAAGCTTATAAGCAGAAGACTTTTTGCATGATCTGATATTGATAAGGGGGAGTAGCTTTAAACTCCAAGGGTGGGAAAATATAGGTAAGATATTAGGCAGAAATTCTTTACTCAGAAAGTGATGAGGCACTGATACAGATTGCCCAGACGGTGCTGTGGATGCCCCATCCGTGGAGGTGTTCAAGGCGAGGCTGGATGGGACTCTGATCTAATAGCTGGCAACCCAGCCCATAGCAGAGGGGTTGGAACTAGATAGTCTTTAAGGTCTCTTCCAATCTATGCCATTCTCTGATTTACATAGTTTGGAAGTAAGGGTTTGGAAGGAAGAAGAAAAAGTTGTTTGCCTTCTGATCATCTGATCATCTTTCAACTGACATAATATTGGTATTTGTCAGTATTCTTCCATGCCTTGTCTTGTTCCAAAATCTCTTTAGTCAACTTCTGACTGTGATTTGCTGACGTGAAAGAGTGTGGTAGATCTCAGAAAGACATTTGTAACTCATTTGGAGTCTGAGCTAGAAGTAGAAATCTTGAGCAATACATTGGTCTAGTAAGTCTTTTCATTCTATTCAGTAGCTCTCTATATTTTATCAAAGACTGTGATCTCCTTGCCTTCAGGAGTTTATGATGTTTATCTCATCCAAGCAAGCCAAAGACATTAACACTACAATACTAACAAAGCAATAGAAGGACTGTAGATCTGGAAAAAAAATCTCACTGAATGATATTTATTTTTTCTAAAGCATTTAGTTTTTCCGAAAGGTGCTGCCCCAGTAGTTTTAGAGTATGAAGGATCTTTGCTACAGATCCTTCTCCAGCAACTCAGTTATTCCTTCTTAATTAGCTCTGTGCGGGTATTTCAATCATTCAAGTGTCAGTCATCTGGTCGTACTCTAAAGACCAATGTGAAATTTCACTGTGCTATGATACAAGGACTCACGTCTCTGACTTTCTCTAGATGGTCTTCTACCACTTAGCATCTAAGAAATATTCTTCAGAACTGAACTGTAATTTAGCAGTACTGCTTACATATCTATTGCTGGAGTTTAAACACTCAGATTTTACAGCAATAACAATTCTGATGCAATGCAATGTGTGTTATAGTGATGATTATATCTAGTGACATCAATGAATAATGATATATATATTTTTAATTAATAGTTTAGGTATTTCAATTGGTTCAGCTAACAGAAGTAGTTTAATTGAGCATGTATAACATATAGACCTTTATTCATGTTTTGCCTTTATCTGACAGAGGAGCATAAAAACACAGAGGTAAAATGTTGGAAGTAAACAGTGTAAATGAATGATATGATCTATATCTGATAATCCAGATTTAATTTTGCTTTTATTCTTTGGCCCTCAAACCAGAAACTGCCAGAAAACCTTGTAATACTTCGTTTTATTTTCTCCTACTGAATATTTTCTTTAGAAAAATTTTTGATTAAAACTGTATACTAAATAACAGGAGCAAAGAAAATAAAATGAGCCCAACAGTTGTATCAGTGAGTAAGCCATTTATAATACTGCTTTCAGTGAATAAGGCAAGAGGAATGTGTAACGGGAAGTTGGTTTTGGAAGGAATTGTAGTTGAACCACTGAGTAATTGCAGCTGTAATAAAATTTGAATTCAGTCTCGTAGCAAAGAAGATAGTATCAAAAACAGTTTGTCAGTTGGACAATTTTTTTTAAAAGAAATGATAAAGTGTGTGAAACAGAACCCTCATATTCAGCAAAATTGCTGTATGAAAAGTTAGAGCATGTAAGAAAATGCCTGTATGAAAAAGGAAACAGTAGCAAAGAAGAAAAAGTGTATTACAGGAATACAAAAGCTATTTAAACTGGAAAAAAAAAGCAAACAGAATCAAGTGAAATGGTCAGAAAAAGGGAGCTATACTAGTAGGTAGGCTTCAGGATGGAAAATAAGAAAGATGAGTGACCCTTTAGAGCAAATACCCAAAGGAATGCAAATGAATAGAGACAATTTTTAAGAAGTCAAGTATAGGAAGTGCAAGAGAGAACTGGAGGATATCCCAATCTGCATTTAGTAAGAAGAACATTGCAGAGGGGCTAAGCAGTTTCTTTGAATTAGTCTTTATAGGAGGAAGGTGGGAGGGAGACAGAAAGGCAGGAAGGCAGGAAAGAAGGAAAGAGAAAGAAAGAAGGAAGGCAGGAAAGAAGGAAAGAAGGAAAGAGAAAGAAAGAAAGAGAAGGAAGGAAGGAAGGAAGGAAGGAAGGAAGGTATTTTTATAAGAAGCTACCCATTTCAGGTAACCTTTTGAAATAAATGTGCAAGATTGCTTCATAAAAGAGGATGCTGTTAAAAAATTGGCTAAAATAAATAGGAAGAAGATGGGATTAGCTGTTCTTTATTTTCAATTCTTAGCAAAAGGAAGTGACCGTAGAAAATCAGAAGTTCTGTTTATCATTTTTTTTTTTAAATGTAGTAGAAAATTTTGTAAACTTGAGGCCAGAGAGAAACTTTAGCATAAGGCATGAAATTGTGACCACAGAGTTTTAGAAATAAGGTAACTGGCATTTGTCCAAGAAAACAGCACAGAAAGATTGTCAATCTATTAGAATCTTGACAGAGTGGGAGAGACTTAATCAATACAACATATTTGAACTGTCAAAAAAAGTCTTTAGCCGTGTTTCTGTGTAGTAGAAACTACTAAAGTAAACAAATGTTGTTGGGGGGGAGCATTATCAGATTCTGTGCATCTAAGAGACAGAAAAGGTCTTTTGGATAAATGGCACGTTTTAGCAGAAGCAAAGTTCTCCCTGTGGCTGCGTGGAAATCCATGGAGTTTAAAATATTGCCTTTCTAGAAGAGGAAATATGGAAAAAAAAATACCGTTACAGACTACATTTGCAGATGACATGAAACAATTTAGGACAGCCATGTCCCTGGTAAGACCACGCATGGCCACGTTGTGTGCTGAAGCGTGATCCAGAAAACCCAGTCTGCTTCTGACTTAGCTTGCTCTGGCGTTCAAAGCTGCACAGCATTATGAGAGCAGTGGAACAGCTGAGCTTACTTAGTTCAGTCTGTGCCATTAGCACAAAAGGCTTGTGTGTAAACTGATGGCTCTACACGGAGCTTTCACTGTGCTACATGAGTATCTGCTCTAGTAAGCGTCTTCGTGGTGATTCCTGCCCTGCGTTCCAATGAGTACGTTTAACGTGGAGGCCTTAGAAAAGACAAATGAAGAAGACAGTGTAAGTTATCATGAGAAATTTGAACTCTTCCTGAGAAAAAGACCGTGAAACAATTCCCTGAAAAGCATCTCCTGATGTGCAGAGGCAGCAAGTAAGAAATGAAATGTCAAGTTGTAAAAATGAATGGAATTGAAAATATACTACCACAGTATCAAACCATTACACAAAGCATCTTGCTATGTTACTCTAGCCAGGTTATTCATTCTGTAAAAATACATAGCATAAGAGCAAAAATACTAAAAAATGCTGATGTGCAAAGCCATATCAAAAGATAGGGCTAATTTAGATAAACAATGATAGGGATGTGAAGAAAACAGGAGTTAAGCTGGCACTTCCACTTGCTATTTGCAGTAATGAGACCATCAGGTCAGCAAAACAGCTGAAGGGCTACCAGGTCATGAACTGATCAAGAAATATATGTTTGATAAGATTATACGCATTTAACAGAAATATTCTCGAACTCATGGTTATGGGGGTCAAAGAAAGAAACAAAGGGCTTCATAACAGGGAAAAGGCAAGCAAGAGGTTTGCTTGTTTGATTTTTCATGCCTTAGTACATTGCATGGATAAAAGAAAACAGCAGTAGCTGTATTGTAAAGTAAATGAAAGTAGAAATAGATACAGATCCTCATACTTTAGAGTGTTTTTTAAGTCTCATTACCAAATTTTCATCTTACTGATGTAAGCCATTGGACTTACATGCCCATTTCCACAGAATCACTGAAAGTAAGTCTCTTTAGACCTAATATATTTTGAAGTATCTATTTTTCAAGTTCTTACATGTGTTTGTCATGAATACAATTAGGATTGATGATTTGTAGGATTTTTCAAAATAATTTTCTCAGAGGACTCCGGAATACTTGTACATTGCAATGATCTTCTCACTGCATAAGTTAGACTCATTTTCTTCTTATTCATGCATGTGATTTCAACAATGACTTTCTGCAAACATTTAAGAAATTCTCATGACTAGAATGATTGTAAAACGTACAAGAGATTCTGGACTTGACTAGGAAAATTTAAACAAGTGAACTAGCACTGCTAAGGAAAATAAAATGTAGCTCTTGGACGATTTATATAAATATATTTTAAAATTAACAGCAACCATTTCGGTGTAATTTTTCACTCAATAGTTGTTGTTCTAGTACTTATTTATAGTATTTTCACTATAGACACCAAAAGCTCTCATCAAATTCCAAGTCTGATATACCAGATACTGTAGGCTTTCTAGCAGAGACCTTCTTCACAGTGAATGCCTTATCAGACAGATCTATTCCTACTACTTTGGGCAAGGTGCTAAAGTGATTACAGTGTGAGTAGCACCATCTTATCT